GTTTCTGGCGCCCACGCAGCTCACGTTCTCTGCCCTAGGAGCGTGTGATGGTGGCAGGGCTGCTTCCTTCCAGGTGCTGGGACCAGCTCAGCTTCTCTGCCCTAGGAGGGTGGGATGGTGGCTACTATATAACCAAATTAAGTAAATGCTAAATAAACAATGTATTTTGGAAGAATGAGTGCACCTAAGAAAAAGCCATATAAGCTTCCTGAGAAAGACAGAACTACATCAATTTATTGAATTGTCCTGACCTACTTATATTTACCAGATTGGTGGCAGATGGGGTGTACTAAATGCTAACATAGTCCTCTGTCCTGACAACTATGGAATTGGACACACTAAAATATCATCATAAACCAACCAGATGTAAACACAGGTGAATTTATGAATGAAATCAGAAGGATTAAAAAGGTATTCCTAGTGAGAATTCTGTCAAATACATCAAATGGACCAGGACATTTTACAGGTTGTATAAATACTGGTTACCTAATTTTCCTCTTCCTATATTCTTCTCTCAGAAATTGAGTACACAATACATAAGGTAGTCAATTAATAGTATTTTTTTCCGTCAAACCTGAAGCTTTGTAGATTCCTCAGAATACTTTCCAGTACATCTTTCTTTCTCCAAGTCCTTTTCCACAAGTATGTCTTGGTACTGTTTTCTTTTCCTTCTTTGAAAAGTGCCTTAAATCAAACCTTACTATATGGAAATTAGTCATTAATTTCATGTTGTCATCTCACACAGTGTGAATATTCTAAGAACCAATGGAAATACAAATGTAACTGCATATAATGAAATCAAGTTATCCCAGCTATACTGCAAAGCAGCCATTTCCACCAGAACATCAGTGAGAAAACATTTTAGAATTTCCTGAAAGCTGAAGAATTCACCACCACATGATACAACCATGCCATCCAGGAGTGGGATAATCTGTCCACAGTGCTCTTGACTTCATGCCACACCTGCATGGGAGACAGTTATTGAAGATCGTCCAGGCTTCTCTGATGGTTGTTAATTAGAATCCAGTAAAAATGAACATGGCAAATTCATTTATCAGATCTACTCAGGGTTATCCACACAGACATTGCATTCAAGATGACAAGAAAGAGTATTTGGAAATCATGCAGAAGAATTTTCCTTAACTCCCTTTCAACTGTTATTGAATCAGAAGACATTTTATTTGCATCTACTTTTTTAAAATTTATAAACTTGGTTCACTCTGTAGAGCATTTCTGTATAGTACCTTTAAGTCACATAAACATTATACAGGTGTTTCTCATGATATTCCTGGGGTGAGAACGTAAGCACATTTTTGGTATCTTCGTCTCTGATGCAGATTTTGACTGTAGAAGACATAAAGGGGTCCCAAATTAGTGAGCTTCCATAGGATAGGTGAACCCAATATATCATTTGTAAGTTCACATAATACAAATTTTTTCTCATTACTCTTCGTCTTGACATTTAATTCAGCCAAATTCCCTTAATTCCTTTTATGTAGGATCTATTATTAAGACTTGCATAGCCCTTGCCCAGGGGCTCACTGATGTTGACACACTTCATAATCCATCAGAGTTTTGACCTCAAACACACATATAACTGAGGGTAGGGTGGATAAAATACTGCCACAAAAAATGGACAATCACACCACAGTGAAAACATTCATTCTGTGGGGGTTTGCCAGTTTCCCAGAAGTGCAGACTCCTCTCTTTGTGGTGATTTTCTCTTCCCATGTGATGATCCTATTCTCAATCGTGTCCATAGTGATGGCCATCAAGCTCAATCACAACCTTCACACCCCCATGTACTTTTTCCTCTTTGGCCTCTCCTTTTCAGAAACCTGTACCACTATGGTTATCATCCCCAGAATGTTAGCAGACTTGATATCAAACAGCAAGACCATTTCTCTTCCTGAGTGTGCCACCCAGATGTTTTTGTTCTTTGGTTTAGGAGCCAATAACTGCTTCATCTTGGCTGCCATGTCCTATGACCGGTACACTGCTATCCACAACCCACTGCATTATCCCATGCTGATAACAAGAAATGTCTGCTTTCAGCTCATGATGGCCTCTGCTGTGGTTGGATTCCTAGTTTCTCTCTGCATTGTCATCATAGTGTTCAACTTGTCTTTTTG